TCTTAGTTTGCTACCCCCTTTTATGGTATTCCTTTTCGACATTTTCAGATTACGTGGACTCATCTGGTGTGCGTTTCACCTTAATACCACGTCGCCGACAGTATGATGCAGGGATAATGTCTGTTGGCGTTAGTGTCACTACAAATCACGTCATTCCACCATATTATGATGAATTCTACAGCTGGGGGCAGTGCTCCGATTGTATGCAAAGTGTAAGAATGTACCAAATGACAATTTTTAGACATGAACAGACGCACGCACTTTAGGACGGACAGACTTACGGACGGACGGGATTACGTGATCCCCGACTTTTTTTCGCAAAAGTACAGGGATAAATACCGTAACAGTATTGCAATTTTTTTTATACATTTGAGCTGTAATTAAGACAACACAAGAAAACAACAATAAATAAATAAAATTAATGGTAAAAATGTGCTACTTATGAGTGTTTTGTAACCCTGAGGTATGCTTACGCTAGTACAAGCTTCATGCCTACCTTTGCAGGTATAAGACCAACTTTCAATTAAATTTGCAATTGAACACCAGTTTGCAAACTTTCAAACAAGTTTTAAAACTCATGCAGTTCAGGTTAATTTATAGTTATATATTGTATCGCCACTCGAAGGATGTATAATGGCATTGGATGATACAAAATACTCTTGTATGAACCGAACCAAGTGAAATTGCATGGAATTTTCCACCTCTGATCTGCCCCCTGACCCGCAAACTACTTTGGGCATTATTGAAAATACATGCTCGCCCCCTCGTTTACTTTGTCCCTTTTTTCTATACATGCAGGCTTTAGAAAATGTGCCAGAAGGAATCAACGTATTGGCTGTGGGGCTGCACACACATTTGGCGGGAACTGCAATTTATCTACGTCAATTCCGGGACGGAGTGGAACTTCCTTACATAGCATATGACGAAAGCTACGATTTCAACTATCAAGAAGGCAGATATTTCAAGGAACCGAAAAGAATTCTTCCGGTGACTTCATATTTCCTTGCTTAATTGCCTGTTTATTAATGGATAGGGAAAGTTTTACCGTGGACTTTCAAGTTTCAGTTTTTTGCTGTATATAATGATAATTCATATAGTTGACTAAGAAATGTTAAATGTCGGGGAATGGAATGTCTTCGTGTTCTGACATCATAAGTTTTATTTAAAAAAGAAATTAGTTTGCGCCTTGTAAAATGATACACCTCATGTTTAGTTTAAACATTAATTTGAAAAAAATATTTCAGAATGATGCCTTGGTGACCCAGTGTAAATATAAGAGCAGTGATCGAACCGCTGTCACGTGGGTAAGATTTGCAGTATTACTTTTTACTTTTATGACATTCCTATTTTTGGACAATAACAACGATGGAAGAACTGAATTCTTAATTGTTTAAGGGCAAATAACACGCAAACGTTTGTGGGACCAGCAACATAACAATACCGTTGTCGTTTTACATAACGGCACGGTGTTTGGCATGTTGAAAGTGCATCAGGTATTCAAGATGTAAATCAAATATGATTTTAGGGTGGACTCGGAACCAGGCAAGAAATGTGCCTTTCGTTTTTGTACTATTACCCACGAGTGAACATGTCGGGGTGCCAAAGCGCTAATCTGCAGTCAGAGATGATCAAAATCGCCCCGCAGTTGACGCCATCGTAAGTAACATAGTGTTGTCATGTCAGTGGCTTAATATCTTCTATAAGTGGGTACTTGCAGTTTCAGACTTTTGGATAAGGGCACTATTGAAAATTTATACCTTCCCCTCATGTGTCCTGTTCGTTTAGGAATTCTCTCTATCAAAGAATTTGAAAGGGCCACCTCAAAGAAGATCGCAGCTTTTAACTGCAGGTCTGTTCATGTTCGTTTTTCATGGATGTATGCCATTATGAATTGCAACAAGGCGAAATATTGAATTTAAACCAGTGTAAGCTAAACGGCAATTTATTGGGTGTATTTTAAATTTTAGTTCGAATAACCATGGCTACAGTGTTATTATCCAAGCACCATCGCAATATGCAGGGCGTAGATTTACAGATGTCATGGAAAACTTGGTCAACTGGCAAGACGACAAGACTCGTGTAAGATTTCAAGCTCTCGAGATGAATTCCACACGAGTGCAATTTTGTCAGGGAATAAATGGATATGGACACGTAAGTATAATTTGGTCTTTTATCACAAAAACACCAAAAACATTCCGTTCTAAATGCAAGGTATATGTATTTCATTTGGATAGCTTAGTTACGAATGGAATATCTGCAATGTATATGCAATAAAGTTTAAATCACCATTCAAATGTATCAGTTGGTATCCGCCAAATTAAAAAAAATGCACATCAGCATGTCGTTCACGTTTCCAAAGGGACCATGCCTGCAGTATCTCTAACCATTGCTTCAACTATCTAAGTTTGTCTTCTTCACATACAGCTGAACCTGTTAACATGGCAACCGTCCTTAAGGTTCGAAGTTTCATTTGTTGGGAATATAATCTGTTAGAATATCATTTAACGGTTATTCGCGTCTCGTTGCAGGTGAGCCTGATCCAGAAATTGCAGATCAGCGCACCATACAAACTTCCCCAAGCATCGTGTCCATCCACAACCACCCACACTCCAACCACTCCAACCACTTCAACCACTCCAGTCACCATTGGGTCTATATCGTCTGCTGATAGAACGGTTTCTGTTACCATGGCAACCGTTCTGTGTGGCTTGTTCACACTGCTGTCGAGGATGTGATACCATACGTCAGCATGCAGGAAACAGCGAATTTATTTAGTTCCAGGATTTCTTTATAATATTCAAGAAGATAAAACCTGTGGGGGTTTTCTACCTAGAGCCTCAATTTACCCAAGACTTTTGACTTTGTATTTACCTGCCTCGGAGTTTACATCTGTCTATTCTTATGATATATGAAGTACATTACTAGTTGTTTATTCGGTCTGTTGTTTGGAATAGGATATTTAACTTAACATGGATTATCACACACGTTTGGACGTTAATGTGAACCATAATTGAACGTTTTGTGGCTTTTTTAGACACTTATATGAATAAAACTGCAACACGGTGGACTTAGTAACTGGAGTTTGACTCAAATTTTGCTTCACTACTGCAGCTGTTTTTGATTTGCCTAATAGTAATGTAATATAACCTATTACTAGATAATTTGCCATTGCTTTTTTCACGCATATTCCTACTACAATATTTGTTAATGGTCTAAACTTTAATTAATCTATTACATCAATCCAGTTATGTTTTTACGTGATATATTCAAATTTAGGTCTTGCTAAGTGTACAATTTAGCAACATAATCATTTATTATTAGATATTTGTCTTATCTAGTGCAAAGTTATTATTGATTTTACATTTAACATTTAACTTTTTACTGCTTTTACATTTAACTAATTTTTCCAGCTACCTAAGTATACTTTATGAATGAACACTTATTCATTTCATCGCTCTCATTATTTATGTCTCAGGTTGGCGGCATGATTTTATTTTATTTTCTATTAATCTATTATTATTAATGATATATATTATTTTTTTCCTTCTTGTGGTCTTGTGGCCTCCTACGGCACCTCTCTCCTCTTACCACATTCATCGCATCTACGTGTACTTGCCAGTGTTTCTATTTTCTTTTCTTTCTTTTGTGGGGCGTCGGCCTTCATGGTCCCGTGTATATTTGACACTGTATACTTAATTAGAATTTGTGTTTTACTTACAATTAATTTAATTACCTTAATCTTTGTCTTAGTATAAAAATCACTTTTTTGATGTTTGGTGTAATTTGTGTTGTATTTATAGACAATGTCTATATCAAAGCATCTCTATTAGCGTGCCATAATAAATATTTTTAACCACCAGCCTGCCTCTAGTTTTTTTCTATCTCTCTCTGTCATTAGTTCAGACACACTGGTCAGTGGAGTAATAAAACAAATTAAAATACGAATGAGTTAGCCAGCGTGGGTGTCTGTCGCTTAAATTATACACGTAGGGCCGATGCTGTTCACCTTCAACCATAGTTGCTTGATTCCCGGTATAAAACAATTACAAACACTAGAAGTTCTTAGCGCACAAGTGTTCATGGAATTTGTCACAAGGAATGATGACAATCGTTTTATACGTGAACATAAACAAGACAGAAGTTTGCGTATAGTGTAACCACTTGTACCGAACAAAAATTCATCTTAGATAAAATTTACTTATATCTCAAATATCCCCTTTATCGCTAAATAAACAATAGCAGGAAGTCTTCATCAATACGAAAAGACTTTACCTCATATTCAACATCAAATATAGGTTCTACATTGTTTGTTAGACAGTTATAGTAATGTTGGCATTGGGAGTACAGATTTACGTACTTTTCTAATGGGAAAAATAATTTGGTGGAAAATCTAATGAGCATAAATTATATGGAATTAGAAATATTATAACAAGCAATAGGAAGTCAAAACAATTAATCTAATTACCATCAGTTTGAGTTCGAATGCTAATAACAATTTCTTGCTAAACATTTTGGGATATTGAATTAGTGCACTGCGGTACTGGTTTGAGTTGTTTAAATTAAGTTTCATTGCCCATTCGTCTTACTACTGAATATGTACGTTGTACAAGTAATTAATGGTGAGACAACTGCGCACTTCTCACAGTGCTATAAAAGGGAAACAAGAGGCCGCCACTTTGCTCTGCAAATGTTTCGTTACAGCTATTTATAATAATAATAACAATAATAAAACAAGTACAAAACATTCCAATCTAGAGGCAATAGTTTTATATGTATTGAATAAAAGTACTATCAGCTGGTATGCATTTATAACAGTCACTAATAAGGGCATAAACAACATTTTTCGTGTTTTATGCCCCCTCTCAGGACTTCAAAGTTGTGGGTATTCCTTCTCTTACATTTATAAGAGTCATTAAATAGAGCGGGTAAATAGTGAGTACAAAAAGGGCCTTATGTCTTTCGCGATATTTGTGTACCCTCACACTCGTACGTCACAAGGACAGCCTTTCATCGACACTAACAACCCAGTTTCTAATGCAGCACCCCGTCACGACCCTAGTTATTACTGAGGCTGGCATTTTATAACAGAAGAGTTTAAGCTGCCAATCAATTATTTATAAAAACGTGTTTAACGTGCTGGGAACTTTTTTAGCAGTTTGGAGTAAACATTGAAGTCAGTGTTTCTAAAATGCTGGTTTTCAGAGTTCTAACACTTTTTGTCCCACTCGCCATACCGAGTTTGGCGGATTTCACTCACCATGTGGTACTTAAGGATGACGTCTTCTTTTTATCCTGGAAATTCGACAATGAAACTATCACGTTTGAGACCCAGGTTCGTACCACAGGCTATATAGGACTTGGATTCTCTCCCAATGGGGGTATGACAGGGGCGGATATCGTTATCGGATGGGTGAAAGATGGGACGGCGTACTTGAAGGTAAACGGGTTATGGTACATTTATATAGTTAATTTTCTTTTTGAGTGTTTTGAAGTGGTATTGGTAAACTGTATTTTATCAGCAGAATTTTAACGACTGAAACGTTCATTTCTTTTAAAAAAAGAAAAATCAGCAAGAGGCATTTCTTGGACTATGGAGGAGGCTGTTAAGCGGACACACTTTTTCTGCTTTTTGCCATGTATTAAATATTAACTGCTAGAAACCAAATATTGAATAATGATTCCGGTCAACATTTACGTTTATTGAATGTGTTACTAATCTTAATGCACATGCGCACTTCTGAATCTGACCCAGTGTTAGATTTCTAGGTCCCCTTATCCCGCAAAGCTACTTATCTTTGTCAATTCAAGCCGCACAAAAACACCCTTAAATGCTTGATAACTATATTTCCAGCTACAAAGTACAGGAAAGTTTTCTCTGTGTAGTCTTAACGGAACAACCTAAAGTCAAGCAAGTGCTTATATTTCTTATCAGTCCCTTTATCGGGATGTTTTGACCTCGATCAAATGCTTATCCAGATAACTGAATCAGAAAATGAGGTTTGTCCTATAAAAAAAAAAAAAAAAAAAAAAAAAAAAAAAAAATGGGCGTCTCCTTTTAAGTTTAAGTACAGCATATCTTTCAAACTGTTCAATTAACTTAAACGTAAGTTCTTTCAAACAACCGAAAAGGTGTCTCCCCTTCACTTTCCAAAATAAAAAAAAATCCGAAATTTAATTTTTAGTAAAATGTTGTGTTCTCGTTAAGCTGTTGAACTTAGTTTCTGCTCGTTATTTAGTTATTCATTTTTTATGCAACCAACATGCCGAACGCCTTGAAAATCTACTATGCCCTGTGCGATCCGTTCAGTGAAAAGTGTAGTACGACCTTTTTGTAACTTTTATCCTTTAGCCATATCACTTTTTAATACAAAGTCGTAAAATCTCTTATTCATAAAAAAAAAAAAAATACTTTTTATTAATGAGACTTTTTACAGGGCAAAGTATTTCCGACATTGTATATTTTCTGTATTTATTGGTTAAATATACCTTCATCTTATCTGAGTATTAGGAGGCCTTGAGCTATGCTCCCCAGTTCAAATAGTGTCATCCCTAGTGCAGTGTGGAAAGTGATACAGAAAATCAGGTTATGAACCAATGTTTTATTCAACTTCTAAAATACTTGTTTCACAATAATTTATTGCTATACAACTATTGGATAAGACAACGACAATAAAAAATCAAAGCCACATCCCAGTATTTTAATATTAATATTAATACTTAAAAGTATCGTCTGGATTGGGGGATATACTGACGCGTCTGTGCGTGGGGTCAAAAAGTTTTGTTACTTTTGCAGAGTGATGGCGTTCCACACACATAAGATAAGAGTTTATTCAGCCATTGATATACGAATTAAAGTTAACATATAACGGAATTGGATTGCTTTTCGGGTGAAGTGAATAAAGTATAAGGTAACAATATAGTTTTTAAAATATTGTTGCTAAAATTACCATTTTTTGTTCTTAAAACTAGAGGCAGCAGATATATAAAAACTATTTAGAAACCTCTTGGATCCTTTAAAACTTAAAGTCTACAGAAACGGTGCAAATATCGTATGAGGTCATTTTTGTTATAAGTTGATTTGCAGACCTTTACAGATAAGTTCAAATTATATTATAAGCACATGTAGGCCACAGCACTATATTTGCTGTTTCGAACATGCTGGTATAATCACCAGCTTTTCTGTATTCCACTCAACTTAATCTGTTAATCTGATTGCATTCAGCGAGAGTCCCAGCGGATTGAATCAATCTACGTACCCTCTACCAGGGCGAGTGATAGCTTTTTTTACAGATATTCACAGATATGTCTCTAGCTAGGCAGATGGTCATTTAAAGCTCAACTTTAAAAGCGTCGAATACATTTCCTACCATGCCATTCTAAGAATAGATATAATGGTACTACATTTCTAATTTCATACAGCTTTATGCAAAAACTTTGTTGCTTGGTTGCTTTTGAGTTCATCATAATCGCATAGCTTCTTTTATCCATATTTTAGGATTGCTACGCGACAGCGATGCAAATGCCCTCTATTGACAAGAGCCAAGATGTGGAGCTGATCTCTGGCAGTGAGAACAGCACCTTTACGACATTACGCTTTAAGCGTAGACTGGACACATGTGATAGCAAAGATAACAAGATAACAGTGAGTGATAGAATTAATTCCTGGTAACGTTAAACTACAAATATTTTTTATATGTGATTGCTATAATTATTTTGGTGCGCACCTCAGAAACATCCTGTAAACATGTTTGTTATCGTAGTAATATATTGTATATCTGCCCTATTTTCCACAATAAATCAAAAGGTAAACAAACAATTAAAATATAATTATAGTAGATTAGAAAAATTATATTCTATATTTTTAAAAGAGGTTATACACCTTACACAATAATATAGTATGGTGTATAGTACGTTTAATAATTTTTCTCTATTTTCTCATGTAATGCACACAGGGAGCAGGACAACAGAAACGTTTTTTAAAAAAGGCCAATATGCACAGAGATTATATAAGATATTAAAAGTTATCAATTTTGACAAATGGTGCGCTTGCAATGGTTGTTCAAGATGTCAGAAGTTGTTTGCTTCTTTCATGGATAAATAAATCTTACTGATTTGAGAAAGGAGGATGGCGGAACCCCTTCTCTTAAAAATTTGGACTCGTTTTTTATTTAAAAAGATGAGAGAAAAAAAAACAGTGTGTTTCAAGCCTGTCGTAATTTTTGATAAATGTACTCAATATAAAATAATTTTCATTTCAGCAAAGTACCATGCGCTTTATTTGGGCTTACCACGATTCAGACCCCCTGACTCAGACGGACTTTCTGTACCATGGGAACGTGAACCGTGGAGCAAAGAGCATGTTCCTTTTGGACCCCGCTGATAATCCAGTTAACACTGTCACTATACCAAACGATGCATATACCTTGGAGTTTCTAAATAATAAGGTAGATGAATTGTGTGGATGATAAGTATTTTAAAAGACCGACGTTGTGCGTTCTCGACCCTAAACCTTTCACTAGGTAATGACCTGGACGGATTGTATTATTGATTCTAATTATTAATGGCCAAGACCATTCACCCATATATTATAATACTGTATCTTACACTACCAGGTTCAAGTACCTTCAACTTCCGACACAACATATTGGTGTTCCGGCTTCACGCTGCCCAGTTTCAGTAACGTTCATCACATGATTAAGGTATGTTCAATACTCCATTTTACACTGAAGTATATATTTAAACGATCTTTTTGTTTTGGTTTGAAACCAAAGGGGCACAACGTGTCAAAGTATGACAAATATCAAACGCATGGGTAATTCAAACACTCCCATCATCACTTTGTACCCTTTGTACGACGCCCTATTCTTACATGTAGTAATCTCAATTGCACATTATTTCATTATGAATATAAAATGTTTTAATGAAAAATAATAATTTTCTTTTTGTTTGGTTGAAATATGATTTTTTTGCTAGAAGCAAATAAACAATTGCAATGCATATACCGGCACATTCTCATACATATAATGCTCATATATAATCTAGGCAGAGCCGATAGTTCAAAACGGGAACGCAGCACTTGTGCGTCACTTTATTGTGTATGCCTGCAACCACCAGTTCAACTTCACCGACCACGCCAATTATAGTAATGATTGCACGGGCAGGGGAAATATGCCTCCAGATCTTGAATTATGCCAACAAATGCTGATGGCGTGGGCGGTTGGAGGAGAGGTGGGTATCAACAGAGTGTATATTTTGATGTTAAACAAAACTGTGTATATTTATGCAATCACTAAAAGAGCATTAGTATAGATATCGAATTTTATAAATTGTCTAATTTAATAATTGATCTATCAATGTTAACAGGTTCAGGTGTATCCAGAGAATGTTGGCTTTCCTTTTGGAGGGGAAGGTGATCCCACTTTCATTTTGTTGGAAACCCACTATGACAACCCAGCTCTGAGAAATGGTGAGTGGATACCATGCGTCTACAGGTCGTTTTCAGGAATATTATATACTTTTTCGTGTATTGGTTTCGGGTATTGGTTATCTCTGGCGAAGCTTGGACAACATTTTCTGTTACTTTACTGCAATCTGTTTTCTTCTTCCAACTTCCGTTCATTATTTCTGAACATATAACGTAAATCTGTGAGAGTAGTTGAAGAAGTTGCTTCAATATATATATATATATATATATATATATATATATATATATACAGACTTGACATTTAATATGGAATATTTTTTTCCAAATCATTTTTCATCAGTTTTTACCTATTTTGCTGACTGATACATGAAAATAAGGATTAAAATCGTGTTCTAATAACTTTTAATTATCTCTTTGATGTCATTGTGACATCAGTTCATGAATGGAATTCGCCAGAGAAGCAAACAAAAACACATTGCCTTTTCTACTTCATACAACAACCATTAAAAGAGATATTTTGGATCTCCATATTTTCCAAATTATTGTCTGTAAAAGAGTTACACGCTCCACAAAGGACCCTCATGTCAGTGTCTAGTCACAGTAACAGTCGCTGTTACGTCTGACCTCTTCTGGCTGCTACCAGCGCTCTCAATTGGCAAGGCATTCCTTGGGATAGGTTTTTAGAGTTCAGTCTGGAATAACATTCCAGGGATGGGTCAAAATCTGTCCAATTTGGTCCAGTTTTGTTGTAGGACATGTAGGCCATTAATTTGGCGAGTGATGGCCTACCCACATGATGTCTACGTTGTTCAAATGTGGCGGTTTTGATGACCAAGGTAGCTGTTCATTCCCTTGGTTCTCTAAGTAATCTGTTATTAAAAGTGCTCTGTGTGAACCGGCATCTCACCGTACAACCTAAAATTGTTCCTAGGGTGCCCCCTATCAAATGATAGTCAAGTGGTTCCCAAATTATTCCTTTATTTAATCTGGTTCAGGTTTTCGTCGATGACTCCCATTGGTGTTTTGGCACCAATGTGGTATCCACTTCAAATACTGACGCTGTTAATGACCTAAGTCACTTTAGACGTGGCACACACTTCGTCGTTGGCCTCTTCTTGATATCTGTAAACTCTGTCTGATTAGTTGAGCGGTACAGGTGAAATCTGACCTCAATAAAGAAAACCACGAGGTTTCTTTGTTCATCCCAGAAACGGTCAGGGTCCCCAATTCATTAGAGAAACATACAACGATGTTTTGCTGTTTACAGTAGGTTCCTCGGAGGTCGTCTGGTATTCTAACCTGCTAAAACCAGTTTCGTGTTCGCTAAGGGCCTTGAAAAAAGCGTTTTGGTGGCAATTTACCCCTCATTCTAAACGGACTGGGTGGTTTTTGTTTAGTCGCAACACAATATCCTGAAAGACAGTGGGTCCTGTACTCTGGTGGTAGGATTTTAATACATTGGGTGTGGCCTCTATGTAGGCACATCAGTCTGGGCATTACACAATAAAACTGTACGGACCGTTTCGTTTGGCGCAATTAACTGTCTGGCAATGTCTTTCTTTTTCGCGCCATTTTGCCACAGATTAACAAATTTGTAAAGCACTGCATAACTCATTTTACTCACTGTAAAACCGACCACTTGCATGCAAAATTTCAAATTCTTCTATGCAGTAGTTGCCGACATATGGATACTTTTTTGACAGAAGCATGCATTGCCAAAGCCAAGCTTTGACCTGCCCAAAGGAGCACTACCCAATTAAATTACTGCATATTACATAATGCAGCAGCGTAACAAACCTGGTATTCTGTTAATTGGAAGCGACACACCTGACTACAAACTTTTCCATTCACATGTCTTATATGAGATCGCAGTTTTTTGAAAAAAGAACGCATTTCTACCTAGGCGTACCCTCGAAATTGAAATATTCCATATTAAATGTCAAGTCTGTATATATATGGCTGTGTCCACTGCACGTGTGATTATAATATCCTTTTGCAAAACATGGTATAATGATCACATCTAGTCAATTCGTTTTATTTCCAAGTGCAGTAATTCCAGTTTCAACACCCCATGCTTCAATTCCACCATCGTTTGAAAAAAATTACCCAGTGAGTACAACCTTACACTAAAATGAAAAAAATCTGTCGCTAAATAAGGTGCATTATACTTATTTTTAAAATTGCCTTTTTTTAGTTTTGAGAGTCCTTACGATTTAGGGTTTCAATAATTTCAGATTACGTGGACTCATCTGGTGTGCGTTTTACCTTAATACCACGTCGTCGACAGTATGATGCAGGGATAATGGACGTTGGCGTTATGGTCTCTAGAAACCACGTCATTCCACCATACTATGACGAATTCTACAGCTGGGGACAGTGCTCTGATTGTATGGAAAGTGTAAGATAATACTAATCAAAATATTTTAAAGTTTCAAAGTGTGCCAAAAAAGTTAAAGCACTTCTATTGTGCTAGCAATAGAACTGCAAATCAATGCAAGCAAAACTCAAAACGGTATTTAAAAATATTTGTAAAAAATGTACATTATGTTTTGAAAATATCTACATTTTATAATGGATAAAACCATGTTGTCTATTGTTATCATGAGATGAGACAAACTAGCACTGTTTGGTGTGGCAAATGCTACCATTATTACAAACGGTCTCTTTGTGAGCCATTTTTACAAGGATTCTGAACGTTCTTTTATTGTTTTGGAGACACTTTGACCAAACAACTCCCATAGTAACAACTCACACCTCTAAACTCTTATATGCAGGGTTTAGAAAACGTACCATTGGGAATCAACGTGTTTGCTGCGGTGCTGCACGCGCATTTGGCGGGAACTGCTATTTACCTACGCCACTTCCGGGGTGGAGTAGAATTTCCGTATTTGGCATACGACGAGAATTACGACTTTAACTATCAGGAGTACAGATATTTCAAAGAACCGAAGAAAATAATGCCAGTGACTAAACCTTTTTAATGTCTTTATATAACTTTAAATTGATATAGTGAAGACTAGACACTTATAAACTCCCAAATGTTGTTTGCTGATGCATTTATCTGAGTACGTCCAGTAGTTGGTCCTCTAGGTGAAGTAAAGCTGGTTTAAATAATATCTTTCCAGAATTTTAAAGCCAAAAAGAATTTTCCTCAATAAACGTGATTTAAATGTTTAAATAAGGACATGCTAATAATTATTGCAACTCGGGCTTCATGGCACTTAATGCTATTGCGTGATTAATTAACTTGTCTTCTGTGTATATTGATTATATGTATACCGATAATGCATTAAATCTGATTTTAATTTCAAAATGCACTTTGTTTCAGAATGATGATTTGGTCACCCATTGCAAATACAGGAGCAGTGATCGAACTTATGTCACATGGGTGAGATACTGTACATACACCTGTACATAACCAGTGTGATAACTTCTACCAGTTATTATTTTGTTATACCTGTGACAATACATTAGAGATATCAGAACCGAATTCCACACTGTACCTGAACATAATATACTGTAGGCATTTTAATTAACGTAATTGTATGAGGTGTTTTGAAAAGAAATTGGTATTCAGGTAGTACTGACGCAAAAAGATTTTATTCACTGTAGGGAGGACTTGGAACTAAAGAGGAAATGTGCCTGGCGTTCATAATATACTACCCACGAGTAAACCTGACGAACTGCATCAGCGTCCCCCTGCAGTCGGAGCTGATCAAAATAGCCCCAGAGTTGACGTCATCGTAAGTGATATCAGAATATATATATATATATATATATATATATATATATATATATATATAACACTGGTCAAAAAGGTTGTCCCACCCCCATTACCATGTGCTTTTATTTACAAATGATCACCTCACAGTTGTAAATTGTTAGAAATAGTGCTTTTTATTACAGATAACGTGTCTAACATGCTTAATGGTTAAAAAAATACAAAATAGTGGTGAATATTTACACATTTTATACCATTTGGTAAAATTATAAGAGGTACCCCCTCAAAGCCACTGTTTCACTGTGACTTCTACAGATGTAAAGAAATGTCTATTAAATTGAAAAGACGCCATCAAATGTCACCAAATTCACACACAATTAGCATTAAGGTGTGCTCGTTAAAGATCACGTGCCTAACAGCGTGTGCGTCTACCGCGTACTGCAATTATCTCCTGTAGACGGCGCGACAAGCCTTCAACACGGGTAACAATTCTGTTTTGTGGGATATTGTCCCATTCTTCTTAAACAAGTTGGGGGAGTTGGTCCACGTTTTTATGGGGTTGGTTCTCCTTTGCATTGCACACTCCAATTCATGTCACCGTTGATAGTAAGTTTAATATCAGGGCTCAAAGATGGTGGTTCCATCCTTAGAGCATTGTGCTTCTTCAACAAACACTTGCCAGGCGAGAAGTGTGAGCAAGTGTGCAGCCATATATATATATATATATATATATATATATATATATATATGTATTTTGCTCCATCCAGTTGTAGTTTCAAAAAAAAAAAAAAAAATTAAAATTGAAAGACATACTAGACAAGCAGATGGTTTGAGACCAGGCAATTACCCTATCTTGTGTACATTGTTTTGAACAGGGTAGGATTTACCAAAATGTTTCTTGATGCTCATGGCACCCACACCTCTTATACCAGAACAGGTATCAGCTGGCAAGCACGCATTGCACAATAAAATTTTCCACTTCGTACATGTACATTCTTCCCGAGAGTGGCGTAATCTTCAGTAGGTCTGTACGTTTTCTTGACTATAATTGACTATAAATGTAATTTGCCACTGGTGTGGTTGAACAGCATGATACTTATTATCTTTCTTTGTGGAATTCTAGGTCCGATGACAATGGCTACAGTGTAATTATCCAAGCACCATCGCAATACGCAGGACGTAGATTTCATGATGTTATGGAAAACTTGGTCAACTGGCAAGACGGCAAGGCTCGTGATAGATTTCAAGCTCTTGAGATGAATTCCACTCGAATGCAGATTTGTACTGGAACAAATGGATATCGGCATGTAAGTGTTATTCGATATTATATTCAGTACAATTTACCGAGAACAGTCCGTTCTAAATGCAAGGTATATACTGCATTTCATTTGGATCAGTTAGTGACGAAGGAAATATCTACAGTGCATGAGCAATAAAGTTAACAACACCATTCAAAACGGTATCTGTCGGTATACGCCAAATCCAAGGTAAAAAAATGCAGAGCAACACGGCGCTCACGTTGCCGAAGGCATCGAGCTTGCAGTCTCTTCAACCATTGTTTCAACTATAGGTATCAACTATAGATATCTATAGGTATCGCTTCTATCAGTTTGTATCATCTTCAGGTAGAGATGAACCAGTTAACATGGCAACTCATCCTTCGGGGTTTGAAATTTCACGTTTTTTTGGTTATTTGGTCAGTAAGTATATGGTTTAAATGGTATGTGCGTCTCATTGCAGAGAAACTTGATCCAGAAATTGCAGATCAGCGCGCCTTACAAGATACCACAAGCATCCTGCCCAGACACTCTGGTCAGTATTGGCTCTATATCGTTTGCTGATAAACCCGTTTATGTCACCATGGCAACGATTCTATGTACCTTGTTCTCACCTCTGTTAAAGATGTGATGCATGTACACGTACCATATTACAACATGCGGGACATAACGAATGTATGGAATTCTCAAATAAATAGTGCTGCTTCTAATTCTCATCAAGACAAAATGACTGATGAAATATGTGGGAGTTTCATGACGGCTTCATATGTTACTCAAGACTGCTGACTTTGATGATCAGGCGTCTTTGTATTTTGCTGCCTCTATGTTGCCTTTAGGAGCTGACCTTTTTCTTTTTTATATGGACGCTGAGTGCTTAATACTGCCGTTGTTTGATCGAACTGTTGGACATGCATGGGTGCTTATTTATTTTACTCGGATGCTTATCGCACGCTGTTGGCAACATTCATGAAACCGTCATTGCACGTTCCGTGGTTACCTGGACGGTAATATTAACATTACAACACAGTGGACCTATTATCTGTTGTTTTGACCTGCTATTTCGGTCTTGCAGCTGTTTTTCATTTTCCCAATGAAGATTGTTACAACCTAGATGCTTGAACATTGTTTTCTGATGTACATGGATTGCTATAAACCAAAATGTACACTCATTTTTCACGTACAATATTCATTAATGGTGTAATCTTTATTTAAACTACTTCGTCTCTTCAGTTATGTTTTTACTTCAAATCTTCGAGTGAAAGAATGTCTTGCAATATGTGCAGCTCAACAATATGGTCATTCATTATCAGACATTTTCTTATCTTCCTGTAGTGGAAAATGATTTTTGCAAGTAAATTTCACACATTTCAATAATAGTTAAGTACATTTTATGCTAATATGTTTTTTTCACTTCATCCTCATGATGAATGTCTCGGGCTCTCAAAATTGACTGTCGTTTCCCTCATGGGGCTCTTAGGTCTCCTATCACGTCTTTGTCTACTCACACCACATTCATTACATGCTACTTGTTCAAGCAAGTGTTTTCTCTTTTTTTTCTTTCCTTATCGGGGAGTTTTCCTTCAGGGCCCCATGTCTAGTTCGCACTTTATACGTGTACTTACTTATTTAACTTATATCAATCATATCATTTATCAATCGCACCTTTAGAGCCTCATGTGTACTCCACACGGTATAGTGCGTGCTCTAACTTATGCATATTAAATTACAATTTGTGTTTAACTTCCTTAATTTTATATAATTATCTTCCTGTCTTTAAATATTAGCACGTTTGCTTACATGCATTGGTGTATTTGTATTGTAATTATACACATGTCTATGTCTTTTGGTTGAATTATGACCGATGATGTTAACTTTCAATCCCAGTGAAAGCGATTATAAACACGAAATGTTCTTGACACACAATTGTTCATAGACGAATTGCAAGTAATAATAAGAAACGTAAAGAAAGTGGACAGATAACATGACAGATGCTCGTGTAGAGTATAGCCACTTGCCCCTTAGACAATATTTACTCTTGGCTAAAATACCTCCATTCTCGTTAAATCAACAAGAGTGGTGAGTCTTCTTCTATGGCAAAGGCAATAACTCGATTTAATTCAACATGAAATATTGTTTATATATTGTTTGCTATATACCAATAGCAATGTTTGCATGGGAGTACAGATTGACGCACTTTCTGTACGTGAGAAATACTTTGGTGGCAAACCTAATGACTACAATTTACCTAGATATTTAGAAATAGTATTTCTAGTAGTAATAATTCAAAACAATGAGTCTATTTCTTCAATTTTTATTTCAAATGCTTATAACAATCATGGGCGGATCCAGGATAATTTGAAAGAGGGGGGGGGGGTCTGGAACGACAGGCCTCGGATACAAAGCCGACCATCACCCCCTTGGTGTGGGGTTTGGGGCCTGCTCAAGGGCCCCGAAATTTTTTGGTAATTTGGTATGGTTTAAAACTATGATTTAGCTAGTCAAAATTCTAATTTCAAGAGAGGAATACTGGTGTGATATATATGTTTCAGAAACTGAAGGTGGGGTCAGGACCCCCCGACCCCCCCCCCCCCCTAAATCCGCCACTGACAATTCCTTGTGTTATTTTAAATTACTGCACTGTTGTATCGGTTTGAATTTTTCCAGTTTAAATTAGGTTATTTCCCACATTCTTGTTACTACTGAATATGAATGTTCTTCATATTATATATATAGTATATATATAGTATATATATACAGGTATTAATGTGACGACTGCGGACTTCTCACAATGCTATATTAAAAGGGAAATTAGTGACGGTCACTTTGAATTACATATATTTCTTTTTAATAATAATAGTAATAATAATAATAATGACTATAATAATAAGTAGAAAACAACTCCAATCTAGAGACAAAAGCCAAAATTAATAGTTTCCTACTAGTATGTACTGTACATGTATAAAAGAATTATGGCTGGGATATATTCATTGCAGTCACTAATAAAGGCATAAACAATGCTTTTCGTTGCTTTTATGTACAGCTTCAATATTGCTTGAACTGCAAAAAAAAACAGAAGAATTTGGCCAGGCAATAAAAAGGTCATACCCAGTGCACTTATGATTATTTTGTAATGTTAGGTGCTGTAAGCCCATAGATGCTGTAGCATTGTACATGTATGTGCATTGTACAGTATGTGGAGGGCCGTAGGCCTACACTGTACATATGATACAAAATTTATCATGCATGTTGTCATCTTAGCAATTTTAGCGTCTCAGTATGTACATGAAAATATTTTTTAAAATATTAAAAATAATCTTAAAAGTGTATAAATTTAATATACATTGTGAGAGTGTCCCTGCTGAATATGGGATACAGAGAAGAAGAGGTGTCGGTTATGCAGTTTCCCTTCTTCCCCCAGCCCCTCCATCTCATCTGCCACTCTCAAGACTGCAAGCTCGCGTGTACTCTTCCTCTCATCGTCAGAGGGTCATTTCATACAGCAGGCTAGGTAAACAGAGCACACAAAGGGGCAATATTTCGAACGTTATCAAGCCCAGCCTTTCATCGATTCACAACCCAGTGTCTTGTGCAACTCAAGTGTGAAGGTGACATCTATAGCAGAACTGACTAAGCATTAAATCTAGCTTTTCTAAAAACGTTTTTGGACCGCTCGGTTATTTTAGCAGTTTGGAGTAAACATTGGAGTCAGTGTTTCTAAAATGCTGGTGTTTAGTGTTCTATCACTTTTTGCTGCGCTCGTCACACCGAGTTTGGCGGATTTCACTCACCATGCGGTACTTAAGGATGACGTCTACTTTTTATCCTGGAAATTCGATAATGAAACCATCACGTTCGAGACCCAGGTTCGAACCACAGGCTATATAGGACTTGGATTCTCTCCCAATGGGGGTATGACAGGGGCGGATATCGTAATCGGATGGGTGAAAGATGGGACGGCGTATTTGAAGGTAAACGTAATAGGGTTTAAGTGTTTAACATTTTTTTTTATTTTGGGTTAGGAATTTGTAAACTGAATTCTATTAGCAGAATTTTAACTCGTAAAAGAAAAGAGGAACGGTCATCGAAAGGCATTACTTTGTCTAAGGCGGAGGAGGTTAAGCGAATGACGGTGCAGTTTTTCTGCTTTTTGCCACCTCTGTTCTAAATATATATTTTTGGAAAATTAATATCAGATTATAATTTCAGTGGTTATTTACGTTTATTGGTTTATAATCTCATTGTTTAGACCTACCATGTTTTAAAAAAATGTCCTAATTTATTCGCGTGTAACTGATAAACTTTGTTGCTGCACCACCACACCTTTCATAACATGACCCGATTTGAACCTTAGTATTATTCAGTCAATATTGGAGGACTGTGAGAGAATAGTTTGTCGAACAATTGAAATAGGTATGTGGGTCACAAGACCCTTGATGCTGAGGGAAGGCTCTCATTACATCTGAAAGTAAGTAACAACAGTATGATATCCAGTCCGATTTTTAACTATAAGACGACTACAGGCATCTTTACACCCCTTTTACACTCCCTGTTTGAACCTAGCGACTTGAAAATTTATTATGACCTGAGCGAACCGTTTATTGAAGAGTGTGGTCAGCTAATTTTATGTAGCTTTTATCCTTTTTATCCTTCTCTAATACTAGGTCTTAAACTTCTTTTATTTTATACAACTTTTCCGCTTTTTTTAACAACAACGCTTTGACAGGGCATTTTAATTCCGATATTGTATATTTTACATATTTCTTGGCTAAATAAACCTTTATGTTATCTGAGTATTGAGAGGCCTTTAAAAAACGCAACAACGAGCTTTATCTTTGCTCAGGTTACTTAAAAAAAAAAAAAAAAAAACAGTTTAATTCACTCGAAAATTCCTGGGCGGCCGTTGAGGAGAAGTGGAGAGTAGAAAGACTGCTTGGAAGAGTATACGAAATTTCTTGATGGTAGGGCCCTATAGCCTGGGTCCTGACTCCACGCACGATTTTCAGGACGTACGTTTTATTGGGTTCCTCTCGTCCGAATGGGCCGTAGCTAGATCGCAGGGAAGGAATCAAGTAATTGGTGATTGCAATGAGTGCGCAAAAAGAAAGTGCGTGGAAGGTACGTGAGAAGCACAGCCTCCTCACGCCAGATGTACCTCTGCGCCTGACGGGCTTTTGCACGTGTCCCGCACGCCCCGTGCATCCAAAGTACAAGCATCTTGTACCACGTATGTAGTGCGTACATGGAGTACAGGCAATGCAAGGGCAACGCAAGTAGACGTAGGGCACACCTGCTGACTCCCTACGGTTGTTGCTCGTCCTTTGCACGCGAGTCTTACGTGTTGAGATGTTTTTGGGAGGGTTAAAACAGAGGATGTTTGAGGAGATCATTATATCCGCAGCAGTCTTCAAAGATGGTGAGCCCAATCATACCTGGCTTGCCCCTGATCCCCCTTTCCCCCTCTTGCTCTTTGTTGTCTTTTTAGGCATTTTTAAAACTTGACTTCAGAGACAGAATTATTTCTTTTTCGTTCACGCCCCTTCTTTTAAACTCGCGATCCGTGCTCATGGACTGACCACTACTCGCTCAACATGCGCGAAGCCCGTGAGGTTCATATGGTGGGCGCGCGGAAGTGCGGAGTGAGCACGTTGTGAGCAAGAAATAAGTACGTGTATCGAGCGCCTTAACCACGTGCATCGCACTACACGCAGTAGCCACCCAAGCGCAGTGAAAAATAAACGAATTTTCTCACGTGTCCCATACGACAGATTCACGACAGGCGAACGCTAAACGTTCATATCAGGGGCGGATTTAGGCCGTCTTCTGGGTCTTCCGGAAGACGGTCAGATTTTCAAGTTTACATTGACGGGTATCTATTTTTTTCTGTCGGAAGACGGTCAAAAATGGAGGTTGGATCAACAAAGATAATTTGGAAGACTGTCAGAAAATATCTCTGGATCCGCCCCTGCATATGTCGTATTTTTTCCATTTCTTGAGAATTTGTAAACCGCACGCAGCGGCTGTTAATATTGTCGAAAAATGTCTATATGCTGTCTGCGAACTCCAAAAGTTGCACGATGGACGTGCTCCGCACGCAAGAAATCCCACGTTTTCCCCAATGTTTGGCCGTAGACCAGACGCAGAAGCCCGCACGTTGGGTTGAGACCCAGGCTTAAGTGGTGAGTGCGTGTCACGTACGCAGGCAACAAGACAAACTCTACAAGAAATTTGTACAATTTCCACGGCAGTCGCACATTACAACTAATGTCTCTGCTTGAAAGGAGATCTCACGTGGCTCCTGCTACTCGCAAGGCAGATTTGCACATTTCCACTGCAACCATTCCTCCAACCAGCTGTAATAACCGGTCGGTGGTTATACACTTGTTCTAAGAGTTACATTTTCACCAGTAAGTCAACTGAGACAGGCAGGAATAGTTTTCTGTTACATGGTTTATTCAAGCGCCTGAAGACTCAGGTCTCTTCTACCGTATCTATAACTATCTCTAACTCTCTCA